CAGGTCCGCTCCATCGGTCAGGGCTTGACTCTCTGGATCATCTGGTTGGCTGGAGGGAGGAAAGAGAAAATGAACTCGAGCGCCGCAGTTGTCGGTGCTGTTTCGGAGTCTACCCGCGGTTCTGGAGCAGACACTTGGTCATCCCCTCCTGGTCTCCCGGTCGGATCTGCTTGTGTTTGAGCATCTCGGCGACCATTTTCTCGGCGATGCCGTCCAAGGTTTTCTCCGCGCAGTCAAAAAGCATCACACCTGGACGCAGAAACGCATTGTGCTTGTTGCTGACCACGATGTGTCCCCGGGTTACATTTTGTGCACGCTCTAAGTCACATTGTTGGGGGTCCAAAAACACATTACGGGGAAGATTTTTTTTTTTTTTCCCTCATCCTGCATGCCAACGAAACACAACACGTGACCCTGAATACAATTGAGAATTTCTTTTTTTTTTTTTTTTTACATTAGTAGCTCCTCTTCAATAGAACAGATCGGGGCCAAGGTGGGGCGCGACGCTACAGCACATCCGCCAAAGCCAAGGTAGGGAGGAGTCATTTGTTTCGTATGCTTGCTTTGTTGGCATCGTGGTCCCCAAATGGAGCTATGCACTTCAAAAAAAAAAAAAAACTGGACCTCCCAGTTCTGGTTTGTGCCCCCACCCCTCCCCAGGCATTTGATTCTTTCTCTGACCAGTGTTCATGGAACGTCGCAGCTGGACCAGACTCTTGAAGGTGAGGTACGAGACAGGCGAGGTCGCCCACACGCCGGACTGGGGGTCGAAGCTCTCCTCGGCCGCCGCCCATCGTCCCGTCTCCTGCCAGTAGGTCTGCTCCTTGTGGTCCTTCATCATCTTGCTCAGCTACAACTACCGAAGGGAGAAAGTTGTTGTTGGTGGTGGTGGTGCTGCGCTGACGTTCATGAGGTGTGAGCCGCACTGCGGCCGCAGTGCGTTGGGCGGCCGCGAGGTTGGACTGGAACGCTGAAGTTGTATGTGAAAACAGAATGATTTATTTCCAAAACACGGATGAAGAAAGGGGTGGAGGGATTAATATCGGATTGACATTCTGCGCAAGTATGAGTGGCGCCTGTGTGTGCGTGCGCGTGTGTTGACCGTCTGCGCGCGTGGGACACGGTGACATTGACGTTTTGCAACTAAGTGGTGCACGTTCTTCGATGCGCTCTCCGAGAGGTGGTGCCCATACTGTCTGTGTGCCGTGCTTCTCAAACCTTTCACATCACCTCCCAAAATACTTCCTATTGCACGACCAACATGAAAGTATGGCTGCGGAGAAGGCGCAATTTACTCTCTAACATGGAGAACAATCTTCAAAATTAATTTGGCAGAGTTCTCACGGCTCTTACGTTATTGCCTTCGGACTTGATGCACAGCAAATTTTAGTTTTTGTTTTGTTTCATTTTCGAAGAAAAAAAAATCGGAATAACTGCTATTTTTAAGTACAGTAAGAAGATATTTGACGGGTTTATGATGCATTTTTTTTTTTCAATTCACATCGTCAGTCAGCAGGTGTTGAAAAAATGGAGGAATTGGTGATCATTTACGAACCGGGACGCTGCATTGCTTCCTTCGAGAAAACTTTTGCAGCGAGCGCGGCACCTACCTCGTGCGGTCATCCACCAAGCGGGCCGAAGCGGTGACAAGCGCCGACTGACCTGGGAAACAAGAAGAAAGCGTGACTTTATAAAAGGCTGGATGTATGGATGCACGCTGCGGGATGATGGGTGGTCCGCGCACGCATACGCGCACCAATTGACAGTCTGACATCCGGCACCCATAATATTGATAGTATATACAGCTGCTAGGTATGTGCGGAGTCACACTATGTCATTATCCAACCAGCATCTTATCCCATTTAATGTCTGTGTTTAGAGGTCAACAAAGGCTTGGATTACACTTTTGGGTCTTGTGCGCTCACCTTCAAAAGCGCCCCGGTGGATCCTCGCTGCTCCGCCGTTCTGTCCATTTTCCAGGAAGTTCGGCTTCCAATGGAGAAACTCCACAGGAAGTCCTTCTGTCAGGTCCACTGACGACCGGCGTTGCCTGGAACCGTCAAGCCACAATGACTGGCGTAGGAGGCCGGTGCCTTATCCGTTCGAGAAAGGTGATGCAGAACCTAAAAACAATCAAGTTTTATAATTAGGGGAACCGAAACCGTGACATTCAGTGAAAAAATGTGTTGTGATTAATTGCCCGAGAGCACCAAAGTTGACTCCACTCGGGTCAGTGGCTTCTGGTTCGGTTTTGGTGCTCCGGTTTCAAGTTTTGAGGCAAGCTTGGCTTTCAGTTTACTGTCATGAGGCTAAAGAGGCCTTTCAAACTTAAAGCCGAGGGGACGTGTGAGCATCAACCCCAACATTTTGTGGACGTCAGTTCTCAACCTCTCCTATTTGTTGACTTTGACCATCACGTAATAGTTTGGTGTTTTGACGAGCATGCCTCAGTCGGCACAGAATAACCAGTGTCAAAAGTGGTGCTCAAGATACAGATCTTAAAGTCAACACCCCAGATGGGACTCAGACCCACAAGCCCTGACTTAGGAGGCCAGTGCCTGATCCATGAGGCCACTGGGGCCGCCGACCGAAACCTGAACATATAAAAACAATTTTTAGGCTGTCACAAAAGGGCGTTAAAAAACGGGGGGAACACATGATCAATTTACATTCAATAAAAACATTGCTGCACTGACAGATGGAATGGACACTGAACAAGTTTCTGGACACGCACGCGATGAGGATTGTGTGTACCTTGCAATGGAGTAGCTGCGGATCTCTCCCAACAGGGGGCGACATTGTATCACCTCACCATACAATGCCATTTAGCCTGCAAAAAAAAAAAAAAAAATGTGGGTTATGAGGGATTGATTTATAGATGCATAGTTAGAAAGTTAGTTAGTTAGTATGCTAGCTAGCTCGATGATTCTGGTGTGGCCTTTTGATGCCAGGTAGTTATTTGCCACCCCTTTTGTGGCACGTTTCAGCAATGACACTGCCAAAAAAAAAAAAAGAAAATCAATAACGATGTGGCAGAATTATCTTCCAGTTCTATCGCACTGGGTGTGTATGAGTGAGTAGTTGCAGCATATCAAGCATATCTCCATGTCCCGAGATGGATGCATAATGACTGCATTGAGAGCCAAAAACGCCCGAGGCTCATTTTGTTCATTTCAACTGTGTTTCCTCATATCTAATCAATACAAAAGACCCACTCACTGACAAAAGACTGCAAAAATTCCACCCCCACCCAAAATTCTGTTTGACCAAGGTTGAATAATGGACAATAGGTATCAAAATACGACTCCTTGTTGAACACGTTCCGCGTTCAAACAGCCTTGTCCTCTGCGCACATTGTCATTAACAACACTTGAATGTCACGTTCATTTACAAAACAGCAGCAAACAAAAAACAAGCCTGAAAACAATAGCTTCCGTATTTACAGTGACTGACCATAGAAAGACCGAGGACTGCTAACCAGCAGAATCTGGGCTTCCTGTGACTGGATAAATAATGTATGAAAGCAAAGAGGAACAGACGCGCAGAGAGAAAATCCATGTCACACTGTCGGTGCCACATCAGCAAAAAAAAAAAAAAAAATGCACGACCGCCACCGTGAATTCAGATTCTCAAATGACAGTGAACGCGATTGTCATTTGAGCCAACGCACCATCATGACAACTTCCCCAAATGCAAGACTAACCCTTAAACCGGACTTTTTTTTTTCAAATGGACTTAAAAGTAGTTAAGCGAGACCACACACATCCCTCGGCCCAACAGGACTGCTCACCTGGAACGCAATCCTTGATTGGAACCTGAGAGGGGACAGCCAAGGCCTCGCGGACCACCCAGCCTCTGTCCACCGCGTCTTGACAGATGGCCACGCAACGTGAGCCGCCGCTATCTTGTGTTGGTGCACTGATTCCGATGGGGAGTGACCCGCTAACTTAACTGCGTCAAGTAAGTTGCATTACAGCCGCTTGCTTTGCTGTGTCCGGCCTTCGACTTGATTATTTTTGCCATCTCTGGCGCATACCGAATGCCAAACGCAGCCAAAAAGCATGCAGGCCCCCTGTGGAAATGCCAACAGGAACCTTAGTGTCCTGCGTGCCGTATGGCTGCTGGGAAGACTGCAAATTCAGAGCTCCTCCAGCATTTTGGCGTGGGCTTTCCCGGTGTGCCACGTCTTTAATGGGACAGCGTGTTTAGTCATGATCGGAAGCCACTGGGTGCTTTTAGTTCTTTTTATCGAGCCAATATTTCGCCTCAGGTGTCACATTATTCAATAGGATGCTGTGTCCTCCCATGCATAAAGCCAGCAGTGTGCTGTCCAAGGGACACTGAAGTCACAGATTAGATTAATGAGCATCTTACAAAAAGAAAAAGATGTGGAAGAAAGAAGACATGAAGAAAGAAGTCAGTGTTCAATATAGGGAAAGGACTGGAGAAATTCAGGAAGCAGAAGGCTCTTCAAAGGTTGGATGGATTGATGGATGTAAAATGGTGCGTCATGGTCAGTGAAATACATCTGCTGCTTCAGTGCAAGAAAATGTGAAGAATTATGACAAATTCAATGGGAAGTGACACTGTCAAAACGGTCCCAAGTAACATTCAGAATCGTGGTTCCCATCATCTGGTAAAAACCAGTATAAGTGTCAAGCGTGAGTGTGATTGTGCGCGCCTGCAACTGATTAGGGGGCAGTAATCCTCCAAAAGACACTCAGAAAGTTGGTGCCATTATTAAACGAAAAGAAAAGTTCTGATCTGTGTGCATATGTAGGATGAGTGCAGGTGGTGAGGGGGACGGATGAGGCTGGTCTCCATTTCAAGAGCAAAACGAGTATCTCTGAGTATTGTGCAGGGTGACATGCAGAAAGTTGCTTCCCCTTAAAACCTAGTTCTCCAAACCAGTATCAGTGCATGTGTGTGTGTGTGTGTGTGTGTGTGTGTGTGTGTGTGTGTGTTCACAAAGTGGGCGTGGTCAAGGGAGAGGAAAGCCTCGGAGCTGCGAGCTGGTGTCACAAGAGCAGAGAGCGCACAAGGCGCAAACATCCGACGGGCCGCAGTCTGCCTGTGCTTTGCCCTCCGAGTGGAAGCCGCACACTTCTTTTTCGACACAAGCATGGCCGCCCGGTCGATTGCGCTTGGAAACCTGTGAGCGCGCCTCATCCGACCGCTCGAAGCGCTCCGCTTGGGAAGATGGGAAGGACTGACGGGATGAACATGATTTTGATCACAATACTGCTGGGACAGGTGAGTAGTAGCTTTTGAGTTACAGTGGATCAACTGCAGCTTTTCTTCTTCTCGTGTGTTGAAGTTGAGAAAAGTCCTCTAAGGGCACAGAAGCTGCACTGGTCGGAATGATGTTTATGTGTGTGTGTAAAAAAAAAAAAAAAAAAAACCATACACACACATATATATCTAAAATGTGTAGGCGTACCTAATGTGCTGTCCCACATGCAAACGCTTCCCATGAAGTTCAACATGTTTAGCTTTGCTGTTGGTGATATCAATAATCGATTTTTAAGACATGTCATGTACGTAGTAGGATGAAGACATCCTGCCATTTTGCAAGAAATCAGAGGCCTGAGAGCTAAATTCAATTATCTCGAGTTGCAAGCCCTCTCTTGACCCCCCCGTCCCCCACCTCCCATGTTACGTTACACGCGACCCCCGGTGTTAACATGTTTTCGCAACATTCGCCGCAGTTTTCTGACCCGCGGCAAAAACGATCATGGCCGAGCCAAATGTCAAGACCTTCCTCAATTTCTCGAAAAGTTCCTCGGAGGCCTTGCGAGGGTCGAAATATTTGCTGGCTGCGTCACGTGTGACGGGTTTGTCAAAGGCCGCACTTCTGCAGCGGGTTTGCCAAGGTTTTTCCACGCCGACAGCGGCGCTCTGACTCAGACGTGCAATATTGATAATGCCTCGCATCGCTCCCCTTTCCATACGTCCGACGCACGCCTGGATTGAAACCAGCTCCGACTTGTAAGGAAGGCCGGCGCGGCGGACCTCGAATGGTTTAACAAGCGCTGACAGCCCAGGGCCAGAGGTTAAGTGCCTCCAACTTACAATTGACTGCAGCATTAGCGAGATTGCTCCGAAGCGAGGTCACGCGTCCAGACGCACCGACGCGGTTCCCTTTCAAAAATCCCATTGGACATCATGGGGACCGTATTTTTATGGCAAAAAAAAAAAAAGTCTATAAGCGGCAATAAGCTAGCTACTCTGATGCGAAAATGCTGCTCCAACTTTTCTCAACATTTAATTGATTATTTTTCTTATTATTAAAATTAATCGATCCTGACGGTATTTTGACAAAGCATGCGGCACATCTGTTATGAAGACATCTGGGAACCGTTGTAAATTGTAAAAATAATATTGCCGTATCGTGAAATTATTGTTGACAAAATATCGTGACAAGCCCGTGCGTAATTCCCACACCCGCGACAAGAAGCGGCAGCTCCGATGTTGGGAGCACCTCAAGAGCGAACGAGGTTCGAAAGGGGATGAAATTAAAAGCGCTCCGGGACTTGGCGTCCTTTCAAAGCTGTCACTCAAATATCCGGCAACGGGTTTTTTTTCACATGCGAGGCCCTTGGACGTTTGTGTGGAGCAGGACGGCAGGGTGCTGACAGTTGACGTCTCCGTGACGTCTTGAGCACTTCGTGGGCTGACAAACAAACGGCGCGGTCAGCAGCGTACTAAGTCATGACAGAGTGGCTTTGGACTAACATCCTATGTTGGTGTCGTCTTTTGCTCAAGTTGAAATTTCAAGTGTCTGAAAGGTCTTTAGATGTCTCACACGCACACACGCACACACACACACACTCTATTGACCAAAACAGTTTTTTCCATTCTAATGTGGACCACGCCAAACTCTCACACACGCTCACGCAGAAACACAAACACGTACACGCTACGTGCCTGCTGACTCACAGGTGCCTGGAGGAGTGTGGAGGGGGCGGGGGGTAACTTTTGATGTTCTGTTGACAACATTCCGCACACACCTTAAGTTGCACGATTTATGGCCCCTCACTTACATGAGACATTAACGTGCACGCACACGCATACACGTGCACATAAACACGCTGTGTGAAAGTGAGGCTTTTATGAGGGCGTGCGTCAAAGACCGTCAGCTGGCTGACTGCGCAAGGACACAACATTAGGAACACCTAGACGACCTAATGGGATTCCTCTCGACAAGAACGGCCCCCTCACAAGAAACTAAATCTGGCTGTGTATCAGTACTTGTCATGATATTAAAGTTTAACGCTTGCAAACCCTTTTTTTTTAGGGTTGATGAAGTTCTAATTCCTAAATATAGGAGGAGAGATTGAGTAGGTGTCCCTAATGTTGTGGCCCCTGTGCGTAAATCAGCGGGAGGGGCCCAAAACACACACACACACACACACACATTTCCTTGCACGTGAGCACGTATGTGACACACAAACATCCCCCTCTGTCAAAAACACTTGACGGTGGACGAATGCTTTCATGCGCAAGGAGGCACGAGCCAGCCCCACTTGTTTTGTGTGCTACAAATTGTCGGCGATAATTTAAAACGCGCTGCAACGATGTCGCCGAGCTTCACTTTCTTATTTTGACGCCACAGACTGGAGCAGGCAGACGGTTATTTTGATGTTGTTGTTGTTGTTTGTTTTTTTTCATTCAAGAAGCCATTGACAAAAATAAATAGAAATAGAAACGCTTCCTCCAAATCATCTACTCGCAGGTTATGTAATGGATGGACGTGGCAGGGCACTTCACGTTGTTTTCGCAAAAGCACCTGTACACGGAAGAGATGCGCGCGCTGCTTGTCCAAACTTGACGATCAGACCGTGTGGAGTCCAACACACAAATGACAAAAACAAAAACAACCGTATTGCTATTTGTTGTTGTCTGCTAGCTTATTGCGAGCACACAATGTAAAATGCCATAGACGGGCGAATGAAACTCCCACCTAGCCTTGATGTCGTTGCAGTCAGAACGCTTTGAGCGACGTATAATCGAACACAAATGATACAGACGATATAATAATACACAGGGGCATAGATTCTTTGTCCTCCGCCCCCAAAAAAACGACTGCTACGACTGCACTTTCGGCAGCTGGCAGTGGTTTGAGAAAGACCGAATTCGACAGCGAATCAAGTCTGCTCGATTAAACTGACAGAGCCGAGCGCGTCTTGCCTGTTTGCCTGATGGACTCGCTTCCGGCTCGTGTGTCCCACGTGTTGACGACGTCTGTGATGATCGGCAGGCGGGGGCCGCAGACAAGAAGGAGGAATGCCCGTCGGGCCACTACACCACCGACGGAGAATGCTGCAAGCAGTGTCCGCCCGGCGAGGGTGTCGTCAAGCCGTGCGGGGCCACGCAGACTGAGTGCGCGCCCTGCCTGGACAGTGAGCAAACACGCATGAACACACACGTACACTCATCATTGACAACATGCATGGATGCAAACTAGAATTAGAAGGTTATTCTAGTGCTCGAAAAAGTTTGACAGGCGATTGGTCATTTATATAGCAAGGGCTCTATGATGTTTGGCGTTGTTTGTTAGCGCGAAGCTAATTGACGCGACGCTTTCTTGGCAGAAGACGATCAAGAATGCAAGAATTGCGCATTCGTCGGATGGCGCGCCGAATCAGCGATGGCATTGTCAGGATGCCTTTCGAGCGCCTCAAAGCCGATTCCCGATTATGAAAGCGTTATGACAACTCGGCCTCACTTGGCAGCGGCTGAGGAAATCAGCCGGGTAATCAGAGCTGCCCGTCCGTTACCATGTAGGGAGTGAACCTCGACGGAGCGCCGACTTTATGAGCGCAGGCAGAAGATTATAAAAACGGGAGCCGCTCCAAATGTCGTCGAAAAATACACAATGGGGGATTTTTAGTGCGACAGACAAAGTGAGACGGAGGAACGAAAGCGCTCAAGATGGCGGATGAACTCCAGACCGACATCCGGGGTCCATCTGTTTCAACAATCGCATTGAAGGTTATTTATATGCGAGTCTGCCTTATTCCATGAGGTCAAGAGGACGCATTCAGACCGCGGAGGCCGGGATTGGTTGACAGCCAGGCCCCTGCGCTGTTCCCAGGAAATGGCAAACCCACGTGGGTCAAGTCGCGGATAAGTAGACCCGCTTTTCCAAAACGATCCAGGTCGTGAGAGAAGTCGCTGTGAGCGCGCAAGATAATTTACTGCACCTCCAGACCCTTCGAGGGATGGGAAGTTTTTCCTTAACACCTTGATTTATTATTTCTTTGTTGATTTAAACCCCCCGTCTGGAATTTAGAAAAAAAAAAAAGCCACACTTTCAGGCTTGTACAAAATTCCTAAATCCTTTCGAAAAACACGAGTCGCTGCTGAAATTTCGGTATCGTCTGATAGCTGCCAACAGGGGGCGACCTTTTTGGGTCTTCTGGAGAAGTTGTGAGAGGAACCACTTGAAATGCCCCGTTCACAACCACGCAAGACAGAAGACAACGCCACACGGTGTTCAGTTGAAGTCTGTTCAGTTTGAGGGGGGGGGGGGATCCTTTCGGGAAAAAAACTTTTATGGACGCATATTTGAAGAATGCCTCGTGGGATAACGTTGCCTGGAACAATCCAATTCTGTCACAAGCCGCTATTGGACCGGATGGCAAAAAATGATGACAAATGCCCACCGGGGTCTGAAATTCTTCATTTGCATGAAATGAACTCTTGCGGCTTCCCGTTATGACTCAACAGCCTCATCGGTGCTTCAGAGTCACAGTTCAGCTGCTCAGACACGATCAACCGCAGACAGATCAAAAAGGTGCAACGAACGCAGACTTGGCTTTGGATCAAGTCCTGGAAGAAGAAGAAAAAAAAAAAGAAACAAGCAAGACATGATCAACCGCAGACAGATCAAAAAGGTGCAGCGAACGCAGACTGGCTTTGGATCAAGTCCTGGAAGAAGAAGAAGAAAAAAAAAAGAAACAAGCAAGACACAGGGGGGGTTAAAAGGGCTTTCGTTATGGGCTCGTCGTTCAACGCTCGTCGTCGTAACGTTAGCAGTCCGCAAAAACTGCGACGGCGACAAATGGGAAAGGGGACAGAAAAGCCCATGCAGACATGCGGCGCGCAGCTTGACTATTAAGGGCAACTCATGCGGGCCAAAAGCAAAAGCTGACGGCATGCTGAGCCATCTGTAGCCTTGATTTACCCCCCCACTGCCACCCCGCATACTGCAGCCTTGTGTTATTAATGTATTGACTTGCATTATTGATGAACGGCATTATGATAATGGCTCTGAGAGCACTCGGGGAGGAGAAGGCCGAGGCAGCGACACGTCTGAGTGCGTCTGGTAAGCAGGAGCGACCCCCCCCCCCCAACCACCACCACCCGGCTGACCCAACACCCCCCAGAATTCCCGGCAAAACCAGCACCTAAAAGCGAAGGGACGGCCGCTTTGCAGCAAAAAAAACGAGCTCCCCCATCGGAGAGCAAGAGACAAGTCGACTTGGGCGCATCTGGAGCGGCGCTGCATCTGGCCGCACGACCGAACGTCGCTGCAGTAACGCCGAGCGCAAAGACCCCTTTCACCTTAATTGGGTGGGATGAACATTTGGGGTACAGCATCGATACAAAGTGGGTTTGATAGAACATGAGTTCATGTTTTTATGACTTGGGAGGAATCTCCATTTTGTCTGTCCGATTTCCATCAGCTCCAACGCAGTCACGCGTGCCGCCTGTCGACCATTTGCGGCCATTTATCGGCGGCTCGGTGGTGGTGAAGAACGCCCCGTGGCCTGATTTACCTCCGCGCGGCGCTCTCACACGTGCGCGCGATGCGCTTACAAATGGCTCCGTTGCATAATTTAGTGGCTTTCCCAGTTCTCCAGCCATCTGAAATCCAAAGCCATAAAACATTCACCACTGATTGCACCCTCGCCTAGAAAATGGAAAGCATTTCGAGTCACTTTTTTTTTTTTCTTCGTATAGATGAGAAAAGGTTCGCATTTGCTTTGGTTTGCGTTCAGGCGAAACCTTCTCGGAAAACTTCAGCCACGCGGAGCGCTGCCGGCCGTGCACAAAATGCACGGGGCTCTTCCGCATGGAGACGCCGTGCACGGACGCCAACGACGCCACCTGCGTGTGCAACTACGACTTGTACCTGAACAAGCTGTCGCAGAGGTGCGAGCCGTGCACCAAGTGCCCCGTGGGCCGGGGCATGCTGCTCAGCTGCGAGTTGGACCACGACACCGTGTGCGAGGACTGCGGCGCCGGCGACACCTATTCGGACCAAGAGAGCTCGCACGAGCCCTGCATCCCCTGCAGCAGCTGCGACGAGGGCGAGGAGGTGCAACTGCAGGCCTGCACCGCCGTCACCAATACCGTTTGTCAAGGTAAGACGCCCCGTCGGAAAGGAAGCGCGCTTGCCAATGACATCGTGACACTCGGTTCAAATGGAATCGGGCGAGAAGTGCAGAGTGCTTCGTCGGAGCCCCCCCCCCCCCCCCTCCAAAAAGGTGTCTTCGTCGGCCCCCCCCCCCCCCCTCATGTTTTGTTTTCTTTTCTATTGAGAAAATGCGGCGCTGTACGCGAGCGGCCGGTCTCATTCTGATAACCAAGTCTGAACATTCACAATCACGAGTCAAGCCGGCGCCAAATTTCAAGCAAGTCGGGACAAGTCACAAGCTGGGTTAAGCAAGTCAGCCGGGGCCACTTTGCACTCCATCCTTTGAAATGTAGCCGTGCATTAGCAATCACGCAGCTTTGTGATGGCCCCCAATGTGGTCTCTGAATGCAAATCCGATACGAAGCCAGCGAGCCAAACAAAATTTTAGCCAAGCAACTCACAAGTGCTCAAACTGGTGACTTGAGATCAACTCAAATCGGTCGAGCATCAGTCATCCCAACGGCCCGAGGTCGCCGGTCCAAACGGCGACCTCGGGCATATTTTGCAGTTTGTTTCCAGAAGTAAACGCTTGTCCTCGACACGCATCGAGTCAATGCGACACTATCGTCATTGTTGATCCAAATGTCATCGCGGGGCTCGTCCCGCTGTCTTTGGCGATGCGTCTCCACCCGAACGACACAAAGAGTCTTTTTCGCGGGACGGCAGGAAGGGTCGCGTCGACGAGCCGCGCTCCGGGTTTCCTTTTCTATCGCCGCAGCCCGCGGCTATCGCGCTCGCACATCTCGAATTCCCCACGGCTGCCGTCAGCGGCCGCCGCCGCGACCTCGCCGATGACCTCGACGCTTTTGTCCCGCGACAATGAAAGGAGTGTGCCGATCAGCCGCGCGGCGGTCGCGCGGCTGCTGTGATCGCGGTCCGGTCAGGAGCCGTCTGGGGGCCGAAGGGACTCTCGCTACACTTCGGTTGTCTTGAACTTGTTGGGACATTCTTGGGACAGTTTTTGTCTTCACTGGCGCAAATATATGAATACATTCTGATGAGCTCAGTGAGGGCCGATGACGCGACTTGAATTATGGGAGCCATCCGGGAATCATGTTGAGTTTGTTTCGACGCGGAGAATTCCCCCCCATCAAAGCGTCTCGTCAGGTTTATTGGACACGTGATGTGCCGCCGTATCATTAGCGCGCAGTTTAGGAGGCGCACGACATGCAGCGTGTCACCACCCTGGTCACACGTGAGTAAGATTGCGATTGGGCGTGCGATGAGGGAGTTTTTCGACACCGCACGCCTGCGCCGTTGGTGTACCAAAGAGCGACGCACGGCACGGCAAGGTGCAGCCGGCCAAAAATGGACGGAGACCGATTTGATTGAACACCGGTCTGACCAATTGGGATTTTTGACGTGGCGCATGTGCTGGATGATCCCCATTGAGTGGAAAAAGGGCAGACTAAAATGCTCTTTGAGGTCATCGGAGAGTCTGAATCATCTTCGTTTGACGATGCTTCTTTAATGCAATTTGATTGCATTGAGAGAGAAGCATGTCGGGTCGGGAAGATCAGAATCGAAGGAGCCAGAACTGCACTGCATCCTTTCCATAAGCGGCGCGGCACGTCACGTGACCAACGCGAACTCGCTCGGTTTTCCAGCCGCAGCCCCCCCCCCCGCCCGCGCCGCGTACGGCCGGCATCATCATTCGTCGCTCTAACCTCATCACGAGCTCCTTTCTTCCCCGCGTAATCTTTTTAGCGGAGCACTCACGTTATCGCTGCCTCCGAATCTGTAGCGCTGCCAGACGTCCGTATGCATTAGCCCGGTCGGACGACACCGGCCCGAAGGCTGCGACTCGGTCGGTCGGGGAGGCTGGAAAGAGAAAAAAAAAAAAGAGCGAGCGGGACGCCGCCGGCGTCGGGACGAGTAGAGACTTGAGATTGTGCGGGCGTGCACGGAGCGCGGCATCCTACGCAACCTGGAGTTTGCGATGGCAACCGGCGCCGTTTCGTAATGATGGATGCTCCATTGAAGGCGG